AGGCGATCCGGTATCGCCGTACTTATTCCTTCTATGCGGAGAAGGTTTTTCCTTATTGCTAAATAGTTACAATGGAGGAATTGTTGATCGAGGTTTGCGTGTCAGCTATCAATCACCTTGGGTTACACATCTGCTATTTGCATATGACAGTTTGATTTTTATCAATGCAAAAACAGCAAGCGCCCTCAGGTTGAATGAGATCCTCAGAATATACGGTGATGCTTCAGGTCAGCGTGTTAATCGTGATAAGAGTTCCATTTTCTTTTCTACTAAAACTCCTGACCGTGTGAGGAATTCATTGAAGGCCATATTGAACATTCAAGTGGAGGCATTCAGTGAGAAATACTTGGGTTTACCCACGGCAGTCGGGCATATCACTAGTGGTACCTTTGATCACATGAGTGAACGAGCTCGTGCACAAATTCAGGGTTGGTCAGAGAAGTTGTAGGCATGTGCAGGACGCGAGGTCTTGTTGAAAACAGTGGTACAAGCTATTCCTACTTATCCTATGAGTACCTTTTTGCTGACCAAGAAGGTGTGTAAGAGCATAACTTCTCCCATGGCTAAATATTTTTGGAGTAGTTCTCTTGACAAAAAATCGATGCATTGGGTGTCATGGAAGGATATGGCTACACCCAAGTGTAATGGTGGAATGGGCTTCAGGGATCTGCAACAGTTTAATCTGGCTATGTTGGGTAAACATGGCTGGCGTTTTTTGACAAATCCAAATTCCCTTTGTGCAAGAGTTCTAAAGGGCCGCTACTTCCCTGATTCAGATTTCATGCAAGCATCAGCACCCAAGTCAGCTTCGGCTACTTGGAAGGCAATCATATCAGGGAGGAAGGCTCTTGAGACCGGTTTGATTTCCCGGGTGGGGGGTGGTTCCACTATATCAGTATGGACTGATAAATGGATCTCGGGCACCATCTCCATGACTCCTTCAGCGAGACCACCAAACACTGATGTGGAGAAGGTGGCAGACTTGATTGATGCAGAGAATTGGACATGGAAACGGGATTTGATTCGGGATACTTTCATTGCCTCGGATGTTGCTGCCATTATAAACATTCCTATCCGGCAGGGGGGGCCTGATTTTCCTGCATGGGCGTTTGATAGATCGGGCAACTACACTGTGAAGACGGCGTACCGGGCTCTTGTGACTCGGAAAGAGCGATTAGCTCTAGAGGAAGGGACGGCTACCGGGACCTCAGAGGATGATAAACAGATGTGGAAAGCCCTATGGAAACTTGATGTTATTCCAAACGTGAGAGTCTTCTGGTGGAGAGTACTTTGGGGGATCCTCCCAGATGAGTACACACTCAAGAACCGCCATATTGCAGATGTTAGCAACTGCAAAGTATGCTTCGCTGGGGAGGAGGACTTGCAGCATGCGTTACTCTCTTGTCCGCATGCCAGACCTTTTTGGGAGGAGGCATATGCATGGTTTGATCTTCGGCTGCCAATCCTCTCGCCGGTGACATGGGCGCGTGATATCACATGCAGCCCACAATTTTCAGGTGATGATCGTGCAAAGATTACAACCATCACTACTAGGAAAATGATTTTTAACGATGATATATTTGGTCGTTAAAAGTTAGAATGTGGTCGTTGAAGGTCATCAACAACCACATCTTTGTGGTCGTAATAGGCTCCGTCGTTAAAAGTATAACGACCACATCCTTTTACCAGTCGTTATTTTGTAACGACCGGACAACATGTCGTCGTTATTTTGTAACAACGGGACAACGCGACGTCGTTAATTATGATGAAATAACAACCACAATTCATGTATTAGTGACCAGTTTTCTAATTGGCAAAAGTATTTACATGGTTATGTAAATATTTGACCACTCTAATTAGAACAAATGAATTTGAACAACCAAAGTATCATAACTTTTTATATATAAATTCAAACCACATACACTGAACATGATCCTGATACATAGTTCTAAAGTTAAATGCCATCCAGCAATTGTGAAAAAAAAAACTCTCTAGACAACCATTGTAGTTGTTCATCCCTAAAAAAAATCAAGCACAACTCAAAAGAGATTTTTTTTTCTCATAATTCTCGGTCATTGGACACCATCACAAGTCCTTGTATTTGAGCGCACATCATTCTTCATCGACGACTACTGCCTCATGATGCTTCTTTTATGGTGGACCATCTGTTCTACAAAAAAAAAAAAATCAGCGCATATCCATGAATTAGCACAAAGGATAATAGCATATAAAAGGGTTGCACCTGATTTCATGTTCTACCAATTAAAACCATAAAATATTTCCTACAGCTTAGACATGTTCAATGCAAAGTTCTTAAATAGTCTTTACGCGAAAAAGACAACTATTTTAAGGAAATATTAATTGGTGTGTTTCTTGCCTAATTCAAGCAAGACTTGAGTTGTTTTATTTCTCAGGAAAAAATTCGAGCTGTTCTGGTTGTGGTATATATATTATATACCCCAACTAATTATCGTTGAATACAATTCTCCCCTTCTTAAACAAAATACTATTGAGGAATGAAGTCTCTTATCTTCAAAAAAAGAAACTATTGTGCTCAAGAATAAATAATATACATACATATATGAAAATCTTAGTCATAAGCTAGACATCACAGCCTAGTAAAGGACTTAATGAGTGCGCTGATCTCTGAATTTTAAGCTTAGTGACCAGAGAAAGAAAGACCGAACATTCAGTCCTTGTTGCCTACACTACGTACAACCAGTATGACTATATGACACTACAATTACCATCTACAGTCCAAATGAGAACATATTAAATCGGAAGTACGACGTGAAGAAAATACCACAGTATATTGCCGCCACGGCATTTCCAAACTCTTTTTCCACAATATAGACCTCTGGCGAACATTCAGCCCTTGCTGCCTCAGTCGCAACAGAGAATTAATATTCCTAAAAACAATGAACAATAGATGGATCAATAAAAAAATAGAGAAATCTACATTGTAATTCATGGTTTATATGGTCACATAAAAACATACAAGGTATCAAATTCATATGAAATATATACGTCAGTACATCATGTTTTTTCCCTCTGGAATTTGGCTTGGGAGTTTTTCTTTTGAATGGTAATTTTGCTTCGAGTTGGAGTCGTGGTTCACATGGCTGAGTTGCACTAGACCAGGAAATCGGGTTTCGGCCGGTTTTCCTTATAAACTGGTCGATTCTCTTCTTCTTAATAAAAAGGCAGAGCTCCTGCCGGTTGCTCGAAAAAAAAAAACTCGCCAAACAATGAGGGCATACCTCTTTCTTCTTCTCAAAGCACGAACACACACCTTCAGGCTTCAGACGACCTCAGTCCTCAGATCCCATCCATGTCAGCTCACCGATTGTGCACTATTTTTTGCAGGCCATGTGATAGCGCGGACGCCCCCCACGATTCCCACGGAAATTAGGATCTGGATCTCCTTAAACCCGATTCAAATCGATCCTGCACGGTGCCCAGCTGTAATTAACTTCGGTGGAAGATAAGACCTGTAATCTTGGAGCAAAAATTGAAATAAGGGGAACAAACCTTCAATGGAATTCGAAGGAGGCATATGTGTGTACAAATACCCATCTCTTCCGCTGCTACACTTCCTCCAAGCTGAGATGAAGACCACGCTCCATGACCGCCTTCGATCTTTGGGATGGCCATCGTGGATTTTTCTGTGGCACAAGTGGAACCTAGTTAAAGAAGGATAACTAGGTTCTTTAACCTAATTGGGACGCGTGCACCCCAGAAAAATCCACGACAGCAGAAGTGAAACCTAGTTAAGTCGTGCACCCCAGAAAAATCCATAACTAGGTTCCACTTCTGCTGTCGTGGATTTTTCTGGTGTGCACGCGTCCCAATTAGGTTAAAGAACCTAGTTATCCTTCTTTCCCACGCATGTCAACACTTATCCTTCTATTTTTAAGAGAAAACCCACTTATCCTTCTTTCTTCGATGCATAAAGGGCTAACAAATTTGTAACAACTGCTCCTGAAAATAATCCAACTAACCACGCACCACCACCAACTATGGCACTTTAACGATGGGCAGACCCTTGGTCGCTGAGGGGGCCTCACGGGCCAAAAGTTATACGTGGGACTAGCCGGTTGTACTAATAACAACCATGTATTAATGATGGCTGGTCGTTAATGCCCTAATTTGTACTAGTGCATTATGTGGTCTATATGGCATTCTAGGAACCGGATCAAGCATGGGGAGGTAGGTCGAAATCCTACAGAGACGATCCGATCCACGAAGGAGGCGATTGCGCTCCTACAGCTGCCCCGGAAGGTGGCGTCGACCTTGCCAGGTTACGGCTGGCGACCACCTGAAGTGGGGTTTATAAAAATTACCACAGACGGAGCACTTAACTTCACCGATGGACGAGGGGGCGCTGGTGGCGTTGCTCGTTCATCTACTACGTTCCTAGGTGCATGGTGCAAACCGTTTGATGGGGTATCTGATCCTCTGATCATGGAGGCTTTGTCACTGCGGGAAGGAGTCCGTTTTGCTACTTTACGAGGCTTCCAACAGGTGATTATGGAGGTTGATTGTCTGGAGTTGGTGTCGCTCTGAGAAACTCGCCACAATTCTCGTTCTATTGTGGCTCCAGTCTTGTTAGAAATAGAAGAGCTTAGTTCTTTTTTCACTATTTTTGGTGTTATTCATGTAAGCAGGTCAGCCAACTTACCAGCATATCTATGTGCAAAACATGCATGCGCACTGAATGCGGCTGAAAGTTGGCTCGACAAGACCCCTAGCTTCCTTGTGACCAGTCTGATGGCTGATTGTCCAAGGAATGCATTTGCTTAATAAATCTCTCTAAATTGCCCGCAAAAAAAAGGATTAGGATCCTTCAAAATTCGTTTGGAAATCCTTTGAATTTGAATGAAAGAGGCCTAACTTTCATTCAACAGCTACAACTGACCAAGTGTCAATCTGGTTTCAACAGCTACAGGTTCAGTCTGGCGAGTCCTCCTCCCCGTCCCTCTCCGACCACTGCGGCAGCCATGGCCGCCGCCGCCGCCGAGGTCGGGCCGATGATGGAGAAGGTGGCGCTGGAGTGCGGCGGCGACATCTCGGCGTCCCAGGAGGACATCCTCGCCAACTCCCCCTTCCTCGGCGCCGCCAACGCCCCCTCCGCCTCCGCCTCAGCCTCGCAAGCGCGGGGGGCCGAGGACGAGGACGACGAGGAGGTCTTCGCCACCCCTCCCGAGCTCCCCCAGCAAGAGCCCATCACCATGTGCAGCCTCCCCTTCACCCCCAGCCCCTCCCAGCCCCACTCGCCCTCGCCGCCTCCCTCCGACGACGACGACGCCGCCAGACCTCGCCGGAAGCCTAGGGTTTGCACCAGGAAGGTCAGGGGCGCCAAGTTCAGCACCCCGGCCCCGGCCCCGACCCCAACCCCGAGCCCCAAGCAACAGCCAGAGCAACCACCCCGTGCCATCGTCGATCCTCTCTACAGGGCGATGCTCATGATCCCCACCGCCACCGCCGCCGGCGCCGCCGCCAGCAAGCAGGATCCCTTGGAGGACTTCCTCGCGCTCGCCCGCCAGCGCGGCATCTTCTAGCCACCCACCCATATCCATTGCCGGCAGGTACAGAGCAACGCAGCACTGACAATTTCTCTTCCCCTGGATTTCACATTTCTGATGCCCACAAATCTCACCTCCATTTGGACAATTCAGTGCAGGGCAGGGGTGCATTCTCCTCCGTTTGGACCTGCAATGTCGCCGGGCCGCCTTGGAACTTGATACCATCTGTCATTCGGTGATGCTGTCATCAAATGGAAAAGCCCGGTGGCGCCTTTTCCATGATTGATAGGTAGATAGCCGTGAGAATTGTGCCGGTGGTAGTAGTTATATCGCTTAGCGAACTTCAGTCATGCTGTCAGTGTTTCTTATGCTTCGCCGTTTTGGGGGTTCAGTGCCATGGCCAAGCACCAGGATTCAGTCATGCCTACGAAGACATATATGTAGATAGATACTAGATTACAGCAATTCCAAACTTCCTATGTCAACTGCCTTCACCATTTTGCCATTCCAGCGCTTGTGATGTGTGCTGGTTCTTTACTTGCAGTTCCGCACCTAAAAATATGAGTCTGTTTCAGCTTTCAATGAATGGTGACTGCTACTTTTGTGCAAATATTTTCCGGTGTTTGTCTTGCTGCACGATGCACTGAATTGCTAACATACTTCCCATAAAGCATCAACCATGACCTGATTCAAATTGTTGTACAATTGTACATACTTTGTCTGTTTTCATCATCACAATGTCTGTTTTCTGTTCAGTTGTCGCGCCTTGCGCCTTTCTGCCCTACCTGTAGCTCTTTTTACACACCATGGTTGGATTGTATGGCAAAAGTAGACATCGCACAACTAAATCTCCGCAACAGGGAGCGAATGTTCTGTTCTGTTCTGGTTTTTGCCTTGCTGTATGAATAATCAATTTGGGCATTGTTCTTGAGGCATCGCCGTCTCTGCCTTGGTATCTGGCACTTGCCTAAGCATGTATACTAATCTGGTTTTTTTTTTCTTATTTGTTTCTGGAGACTTTTGGGTTGTCCTCCATGTGGCTTCTGTTGATGCTTCACGGGAGATAAATCTGAGCATGTGCTTTCTCCTGGGATTGTTTTGCTGGGTTGAGTCAGCCACCATGTATAGCCACTGCTTCTTCTATTCAAATACTTTGGGGTGTTTGTCTTGCTGCACGATGCACTGAATTGTGAAACACACTTCCCATCGAGCATGAACCAGGCCCTGTTTCAAACTGATGTGCGTACTTTTACATGTATTCACAATCTTCCTGTCCACTGTGTTAAGCTGTTGATGTTTAAAAAGGAGACATACATTCATTATTTGTGGTGTTTAACTTGGCCTTTGCGGTCATAAAGAGAAGGGGGGAAACTAAATCGAACTAGCCACCTACTTCGCTCTTTTGATTGCTGAATGGCTCGTTGCATTTAGTTTTCTTTTTTCTGTCTGTTCTAACGAATTCGTTTGATAGGATCTTGCGAACCGTCAGTGATTGGTTGGTTGATGGTGAAATTTATACAACACTGAAGCAAATGAGCCTGACATGCTTAATCAGTCAACATCACAATGTTCTTTTTCCTTTTTATGGTTGTCGTGTCGTGTCCTGTGCTGGATTGTATGGCAAAGTAGACATCGTACAACTAATCTCCACGACAGGTAGTGAATGTTCTGTTCTGGTTTTTGCTTTGCTGTATGAATAATCAATCTGGGCATTGTTCTTCAGGTGTTGTCATCTTCCTCGGAGTATCGGACACTCTCCTGTAAGCATGCATTCTGTTTTTTGTTTCTGGAGGCCAGTCGGTTATCCTCCATGTGGCTTGTGCTCATGCCCCATGTATCTTTACTTAATTATTATGGGTGGCATGTGCTTTTTCCTGGGATTGTTTCACCGGGCACAGTCAGCCACCATTGACTCTGTACCATTGCCCAGGATTCAGGTCAGATGTCGCTTCTGGCCTCTGGGATTTGTGACTTGGGCTGCCCACAACTTTGGGGGAGCTGTGATCCTATACTGTTGTCTTGAGTACAAGTAGCACGGATAACCAGTTTATTTATTTGTTTGGAAGGTCGTGTGATAATAATATTTGGGACCTACCTCGAGTCTTGCTGCTCTCTTAAAGTTTGTTCTTTGTGATTGGGTGAGCGTCACGCGCCCGTTGTCTGTCGTCGTTGAAGCTCTACTCTCAAGCTTCTCTTTTATTTTTATTTTTTGTTAACAAGTTACCCAAGTACTAAATCACAAAGCATTTGTTTGCTGATGCTGCTGCTCTCTTAACTGAACCAGCTTTTGGATTTCCAGCTTACTGATGTCGGTGACTAGAGTATAAGTAGATCAAGTGCAAGTACTAATCACATTTTGTTTCTGGAGACTGTTCAGGTATCCTTCATGTGGCTTCTGTGCATGCTCCATCAGAGAGCCAGCTGATTTGTACGTACTCCCTCCATAAAGAAATATAAGAGCGTTTTAGATCACTAAAGTAGTGATCTAAATGCTCTTATATTTCTTGACGGAGGGAGTACTAGTTATGGTTGACATGTTTTGCCTGGCATTACGCCGAGTTAACATAAATCTGAGCAAGTGCTTGCCTTCTCCTGGGATTGTTTGTTTTGCTCGGCACAGTCACCACCATTGACTCTGTTCTATTGCCCAGAATTCGAGAATTGCGAGTTGCCCTGTGATAACCAATTTATTTATCTGGAAGAACGTGTAATAGCATTGGATTGGATTCTCGAGTCTTGTTGTTTTCTTAAACTTCTCATCTTTGTGATGGGGTGAGCGTCGGGCGTTGAAGCTCTACTCCCCAGATTATCTGTTCTTTTTTCTTTACATCACCCCAGATTATCTGTTATTTTTAGCGAATTGTCCTGAAGCAGTCTTTTGTCTTTCAACTTACTGGTGTACTACCTCCATCTTGGTTTATTACTCCCCTTCGTATTTAGTGTCAAATTTTGATCATAGATTTAACTAACAAAACGTCAATGCACATCATAAAAAATTGTACCATTGAAAACTCTGTTCAAATACGAATACAACGGTATATTTTCTATTGACATGCATTAACATTTTATTAGTTAAATTTACGGTCAAAATTTGACGCGGTTGCCCTGCATATTTTGTTCAAGGGTCCGCCTATGCTTAAGTCGGACTTCTTATCAGCTTAACTACACACAGAATCATGTTATGTGAAACTGCTCATAGAATCAGCCGTGTGCAGAATTCTTTTCAGGTATTGCAATATAGATTTTAGTATGAGTCGTGTGTTGAATTATGTAGTGCCTCTATACTTAAATTGTATGCTGAGCTGCTAACACTGAGTTGTTTTGAGCTGTTTTACCTCGAATGTGAATTTTTCGAACTGTTTTACCCTCGAGTTTTTATAGCTTCCGATTCTATAGACCCGGAATCTGTTAGATAAGCCGGAAAGAACTGACCCCTAACATAATGAGGTTTATTTTTCAAGTATCTTTACTCTTATAAAGAAGTTGGTGTGGTCCATTCACCTCTTGTTTTTTTTTTGGCAGAGTTATAAACCCTCTAAAGAGGGCTCTCCTGCATATATTATACCAGATCAAACTAAATGCATAAGAAATAAACATAAAAGTCGATAACATAAGCAACCCTCAGAAAAAGAACAATAATATAACGATTTAACAATGGCACATGCACCACCTTCCACGGAAAGACAATCCACGTGTCAGTCTTCAGCACAATCGTTTCTTCGAGCTTGGAAACGGCTTCCACGCCACCGCCGCTGATCGGAAGAGACTTGTCCACGACAAGCCGATTCTCCGGCCGCCGCCAGTAGGACGACGACACCGCCAATGGCCCGCGATGCCTGCTAACGGCCCCTCTTTGCTCGTGGGCTATGCATTTACTACCGCGGCACAATTGAAGCCACAAAAAATTGCTGACACTATGAGATAGGAAGAAGCACGTGCGTCGGCGACCAATAAGGTCCAAGCCCTAAACTAGCCAAGGGTTTCTGGACCCAAATCCAACCGAAGGAGACCAATCTCCGGTGCATCAATAATAGCATCACCGGAGAAATAGAGGGGATGAGCCAAAACAGAGGAAAGAAAAGCATGCCCATCACAAACCTCTTGCTGCATGACTAGGAGGAATTGTTTTTTTGAAGAATGAGTAAACGAACATTGCAATATATAGGGATAAAAGCCAATGTTGGAGAGCAGATCAAGAGATTATAGGGGATTATTATTGAGAAGGAACAACTACCAAGAAGATGTGTCGGCATAGATTTCTTCTCCAACTCCTGAAGAGAGAAGAGGAAGAGCACGGATGCCAGAGGATATTAATTAGTGTTGCCACATGGCCTACCAATTTGCAATTGTCGACGAGGGAGACACCAACCACCACAAGCACAAGGCCAAGGCCAAGCCAGTAGCGCATCCACATCTATTGTCTTCTCCATAGACAAGCGGAGAGTGATTCCAAAGCCACTAGGGATGAAACTACACCTAATCTATAGCTATGGGAGGAAGGGACCCTCGTCCTACTCACCCGCCGGCAAGGCCGGAGGGAGAGGGGAGGGGCCGTGCAAGGCAAATCTGAGAAGGGGGTAGAGTGAAGGGAGGGGAGGTGGAGAGAACGAGGAAAGGGGTGGTAGGTGGAGAGTCGAACCTCCCTCGACACGTTGTGTTTGATTTGTTAGTTTCGGCCATTGACCTCTTAAGTTAGGAAGTCGCAAGGTCTCCATCCATTTTGTAAAGGACATATATTTTACTCAACTGCCCTATACCTTGAGATTTATTTTTCATTTTTTTACCAACTCGTGTATTATGGTGGCAGTGGCAAAAGTGGTTAAACAATTGATAATGTATAACAAACAATAACTTGAAAAACGAACGTATATTGGGCGACTAAGGGAGCAACTTTCGAAGCAAGCACACGAGCATTTAGCTGTAGGTTAGATACTCCCTCCATCCAGAATTACTTGTCTCAGATCTGTCTAGATACAGCTATATCCGGCACTAAAAATGTGTCTGAATACATCCGTATCTAGAAAAATTTACGACGAGTAATCGGGAACAGAGGCCAATACTAAATTATATCGTGGATCGAATTTAATGCCTGTGAGGGCATTTGATCTCAATTTTGCAAAGTTGGGTTGAAATTCCTTGTGTTGAAAAGAAGAGAATTGGCACCACATTTTGCATTTTTGTTGAGGTTGGGAGAGGGTTGGCCTTGGCCTAGACCCAAGTGTGTGTGTGTGTGGGCAAAGCCAAAAGCAGACCAGACCAAGACCAACGCCCAGAGAAGGTGAGAGAGGGAGAGGGGGAACGCGGATCTCGCCCGCCCGCGCGCCCGCCGGCCGGCCGTCCCCCCTCCGCCATGTCCGCCGACGGCCCCGGCGCGGTCCGCCGGGCCCTTGACAGGGCCGGCGCGAGCCTCCGCGGCGGCCGCCGCGCGCTGGCCCGCTTCGCGCCCCGCCCGTCGGCCTTCTCCGCGGCCCCCGACGCCGAGGCGGCGGCGGTCCGCGCCGTGCGCAACCTCCGCACCTTCCGCGCCCACTACGCCGTGATCCAGTGGGCGCTGCTGCTGGCCTCCCTCGCGCCCCGCCACCGCGCCTCCATGCTCTTCCTCATGGCCGCCTCCAAGGGCCTGCTCCTCTACGGGGCCCTCCTCCGCGCCTTCCCCGCCTCCGCGCTCCTCCGCCGCCTCCTCGACCGCCGCCTCGTCGCCGCCGTCTTCGTCGCCCTCGTCCTCGCCGACCTCGCCGCCGCCGGGGCGCTGCCCAACCTCCTCTTCGCGCTCGCCGCAGGCGCCCCCGTCGTCCTCCTCCACGCCGCGTTCCGCGTCCGCGACGACCTCGAGCCCGGGGCCGCCGCCTCCGCCGACAACGGCGCCGGGGGGGAGGAGGAGGAGGCCACGGGTGTCGTGGTGGAGAAGAAGGAGGACGGCGACATGGAGACCGGGCCGACGCGCCGCTCCGCCACGGCCGCCGCCAAGTCCTAGGCTGCCAAGATCTCGCCGCCCATATACCACAACTACACCTTAGAAAGACAGACAGAGTGCTGGTATTCCTTGATCAAATTCCATTCTTTTTGGAGAGATTTGGAGGCTCACTACTACTACTACCTACTAGGATGCATCAGAATGAATCAGAATTCGTTGTCTCTTATCTTAATCATGGCTAGCATTAGGATTTCCCCCCTGTTCCTTGTGTATACACAGAAGATTTACTCCTGCTACTCCTACTGCAACATTGTTGTTACTCCGTAGGCAAACTAGCAACTAACAAGAGAATCAACTGGGTCTGTTATGATCCTTCTTTCCCACAGTATATGTAATCCTGATTGTCGCCGCAACCAGAGATGCCTGCATTGCATTGCGCTGCATTCGTTTGTAAGGCGGATCCGAGCTAGCGCTTAGCCCCTCTGATAATGATTATTATCAGTACCAGTACCATTCTTTTCCCTCACTCCATTTGCTGTTACCAGCAGTACTGTTTTGTGAAATAGAGGAGTGCAGATTCCAGTCTACTCCATCCATGTATAAGCTAATATAAGACGTTTTAGATCATACAGAGTATCTGCATTCCGCATTGCTGTGGTGGAAGAGTTTTTGCTGGCCCCTGTGGATGAAATGGGGTGTTTGGAACTTTGGAAACGGACAGCGAAAAATGTAGGGCATGGACAGAATCAAGTCAAGAACAAGTTGGGGATGTTTCACCATTATAAGAAGGAAAGTAGACACAAGTTGGGGAGGGAGGGAGGTTAAGAGTCAAGAAGACAAGGAACCCAGCCTAACATGTTGGAGAAGAAACATAGTGAAACTGATAAAGCTGAAATGGAGGAGAATTAATTCGCTGGACGGCCACCGCAACCCTAGAGGCGAAGAAAGAAAGGGTTGAGACCTTCACCAGGTGTTGCCTCTGCCGTTGGTACCTGGTCCAGCTTGAGCTAAAATACTAATGGCATGTGCTTGTGTGTGGTGTTTGTTGGAAGCAGGAAAAGGAAAGAAGCATGTGAGTGTGATGTGCCAGTACCAAACAACTCCCAAGTGCAATCAGCTGTCCATTTAGTTGTGTCTGGTTAATTCCCAGTAGTGCTTTTCTTTCTCCATTCTTGTGCTACTACCTACTAGCCTTTGGTTGGTTGGTTGGTTGGTTGGGCTGTTGGTGTCATGGCTGCTGCTGCTGCTGTTAACTGTCAAGCCAAGCTAGCCTGCTAAAGATAAAGGGAGAAACCCAAAGCAAAAGCAAATCAAGGAAGCAGACAAGCAACAGTTCCATTCCTTAGGGGAAAACAAATTCAGCAATGTCGGCGATTATACTCCCTCCGGCCCACAATGTAAAACATTAGTGTAGTTGTGAGTCCGCCTCCTGACCATTTCTCGGCAGTACCTGTGGCCGATGTTGCGACTGTGGATGATATGATAGTTGTTTCTGATGTGATTGTGGTGGTGGTGGTTTGATGCAGGGAAGATGATTCAGCCGTCGACCTCTCTCCTTGTGCAACCATGCCATGACTATGCACGTACGATGCGCTACCTGCACCTGTCACGGTTGTATCGCTGGAAGTCGCCGTGTCAGGTAACAGTGGAGCCCTTAACGGATCTGCAACAGGTTCAGTTGTTCTGCTCAAGTAAGCCCTCAAACTACACTAACAAAGATGTCTATATATATATTTATTTTTTTCAACTCGGCCAAGAGAACATTTATAGGCTACATAGCAGCAGCAGCCTGGTTTGGGCTATCCCTATCTCTTGGCTGGAAACAAGACAGAAGCCAAGTTATGCAATTTTCAGTCCGAGGCATGTCCCCTGAGGCAGGAGGAAGCAGAACATCAACTTGTTGGTCCCCTTGTCTCCTTCCAAATAGACGGAATACGTTGAAACCACATCCTGGTGGCAAGAAACAATTTAGGCCGGCCCGATTTGGTCGCAAAAGAAATGTTCAAGCAACAACCGGGGAAGAAGCACGGGTATAGTGAAAACTACAATCACTCTGTGCTAAAGGTAAACTAGGAAGATGTTATCAAAACAAAAAGTGGCTCATATCAATACCTGTTGGAATGAAGAAGGAGAAGCATGACAAACATCTGAATACCTCAGCAGCAGATTCATTGCATTCAGATAAAGCAGCAGAAAGCCCTACTTCCGTGTGCGCTCTTTTTGATGGTTCATCGGACATTGCCCTTTCCGCTCTTTTCCTCCTCCTCAGGATCACCCTTTGAGTTGTGCACGACGACTCGTTACAGGGCAATAACAAGTCATGCCTGCCATGACTATGCACAGATGATGTGCTAGCTGCAGCTGATGGTTGGAGGTGACAGGATAACGTAGCAACTGCTGGAAAGAGCTTTGTGATTGTTTCGACAAATCCTGTATACACTACGCGCAGTACTTCCCTTTCACCCCTGTCAAGAGACTCGATTGTATCATTGCAACTCCGTGCCTTAGATAATAGTGACATCTTTGCTGAATCTGCAATGTGTTCAATTAATCACTTGTTGGTCTAGATAGAGCAATTGGCATGGGTCTTGTCTAGAGCAATGGTTCTAATTTTCCTTCACAACGACAAGCAAAGATTATGGAAAATAATTACAAGCACTTGTTCTACAAATAGTTCAATTACAATTACAATTCATATGCTTTGGTTTGTTTGCCCAGATGATGACATGATGAGAAACCAAGTCATGTGATACCTGTTGTGCTTGCGTTCGTCGGAGTCGCCTTTCCAGTTACGCACGATTTGCAATTGGGGCAGTAGAGATCATGAGTTTCCTGTTCATCCAGAATCTTATCAAGATCATAGTATTCGGAATTACCTGCTTTTCCATGCACATCCCAGAATTAATACTGATAAGATGATATACCATGACCAGATCTAACTGCATATGCATGTGTATCTTCCATATACAGTTTGAAGCATTACCAGGAAGCCCCAGGCCATGGCCGGTGTGGGCTGGGGCCTGGCTACGCCCCTAATATAGCCCATCACTCCGCTGTCCAACCCACTCAGTCACCTCCTAGGAAATTAAAACTGTTTGAGAAGAGAATATTTTCCAAATAAGAAAAAAAACAATGTGCTAAAAATGCATTAGAAACAATTCGCGCACAAAAATGCATTACAGTAGAAAACATGGAGATTTACAACAAAAAGAAGAAGATGAAATCATCATATGTGCACATGACTGAGAAGCAGAAATCAGTTTTTTTTTCCCGAAAAGGGGAACCCACGACATCTGCATTGCAAAGGTTTTAAGGTCCAAACACAACCCAGTCGACCGGCGTCGACTGCACGTACAGCGACAGAGCAGTGAGGGCTGGCAGTCCTCTGAGGATGTCAACACCATGCCTCAGCAGTCCCCGCACGGCGATCTTCAAGATGCAGAGGTTGCCAAGTTGCCCCATCCATGTTGGGATCCGTGCGAACATGTAGCCGCTGCGCCGAGAGAACTCGAACCTCTGCAGCAGTGGGGGAGGCGCCAAGCCATCCCAGCAAATGATCACTGCTGCTCCTGAAGCATTTCTGTCATCTCTATGAGCCACAACAAGAGTTTTCAGGCTGCCATGTCCCCCGAGTAAGGAGCCCAGAGCTTCCATGCTCCTCTCCAGATGATCCGACGAAGAAGGCAGCGACGAAGAAGAAGATGGAGAGGGAGTGAGGTGAAGGTCCTGCAGGGAGTGCAGCTTGCCAAGGCTCCACAGACTGATGACAGTGTCGCTGCTACTCATGCTGCCGATCCAATCCAACAGATTCGTGTCCAGAGGAACACTGAGATGCAGCAAGTGCAGCAGATGTATAATATCCCATGGAACAGCGGTGACTCTGGTTGTGTCCAGTGTTCCCAAACATTGCAGCCCTCGCATTCGGTCCGGCAGTTGGATGCTGGCATCACTTGCAATCTTCAGGTATCTCAGATGAAACAGTTCTGCTATCCCAGTGAGGTCTACAGCCGGATTATTGCCGCCACGACGACGGCCACGACCACGGCCACGACCGGATATTTGAATGTTTAGAAGACGGAGGAGCTTGAATTCTCCAACACAAGGCATACACTCCAATAATCCAAAAAGAACCCCAAGGGACCGTACTTGTGACTTTCTGATGTTTGATGGTGTCTTGGCATATTTTGCATCACCAAGTTGGAGAGATAGTCGACGAGCCTTGTGACAAAGTGGTATATCATCTCGATCGTAATCTACCACCACGGTGAAATTCTCCTGTGCAGACTTGTGCGCAACTAGATCACGGACCACATCATGAACTCTACATGACGCCACCTCACCGTTGTATCTGTGATGGATAGGTTGGATGAATCTTCTATCAACAAGTTCATCGAAATGTATCCCTGCAACATTCTCCAAGCTTTCCCCTTCTCTCCTAGCAATAAACCCTTCAGCGACCCACTGCTTCACCAGATCATTCTTGAAGATTATGGAGCCCTCTGGATACATAGTAGTAACATACATCAAGCATGTCTTGAGATAACGAGGAAGATTGTTGTAGCTGAGGTTCAGTGCTTGTCTCGTTCTTTCCGAAGCAGGGGTTGATGACAAAATGGAGCTTAGCAAATCGCGCATGCGCGTCAACAAATCCACCGATATGGAAGGTTGCTTTGCTAAAAGACTAGCTATGCCGATGGTCGCTAGCGGCAAACCACCGCATATTTCTATGATCTCGAATGAAACTTGTCTGAATTCTTCAGGACAGTAACTTTCAGAGCCAAAAAGCCTGTCAAAGAATAGCTTCCTCGAGTGATCATCATCCAGAGGTTTCATCTCAAAGACATGTTCTGACTCATGGCCGCAACATGCTAATGCAACATCTTCAATCTGTGTAGTTGTTATTATTATGCTGCCATGGTTACCCTTTGGAAAAGCATGTTTGATAATATCCCATACCGACGCAGCCCATAAGTCATCGATAACAATTAGATACCTGCAATGCCAGGAAGTCACACACACCAGGCTACTAGTAAAAAAAATCTCTAATTTATTAGGCGATA